GCAGCCCTATAATGTAGCTTGGAAGCATCACTGGAAACTTGGATAACTGCAGATGGGCAGGTGCCATAGAATATTGTCCTGCTCTCGTCTCTAGGATGGAGGAGCTCTCTCGAGGAGAGTGAGCAGGGAGTTGACATGAATCCAGAAGCAATCCATACTGAGAACTCTCTTTGGGTAGTGGCAGGAAAGGCCGAGTGGACTCAGTTGTCCCTCCTGGTCTTTTTGGGACAAGTAGACCTCAGGCTTCCTCAATGCACTTCACTGAATACCCCAGAAGGTTGGCAACTGAGCATGGCGACGGGCCGTTGTCTGAGCCACACCTTTGCTCAGACGGCTCAGATCAGGCATCATTGCTCTCACTAGAGTTCAGAACTTATTTCTCCTCACCTTTAAGAATAAATTGCAGTGAGTTTCCCCCAAAGCAGTTCAGGACTAATACAAATGATCTAACATGAAGAAAAAGGGTTATTCAAAAACGGAGAGGAAAAAAACAAAAAGATAAAGTGTGTGAAACATTCTTAGGTCGCCTACCCAGCCCCACTTAGGCAAGCCCCAAACATTTGAGAAGTAGTAAGCTGGAGAACTGAATGTTCATATCATTCAAAGACCTGGATTTGTTCTTCAAACTGATCAAGTGCCATCCTTCTCTTGTCAGCCTGCATCTCCGAGCTTCTGATGACAGCACACATACCTCTGTCTCAGGCCATGTGTTCACTACATGGAAGATCAATGCTGCTGTGATCAACCTTCCAGAGTTCCATTTAGCGGGTCTAGTAAAGACCCACTAAATTGAATTCAGATGATGCCCTTGTTGGTGCTGGTACTCCCACTCCTTGCAAGGAGTATGAGAAGCCAATGGGAGTCTTTGCTCCCATCAACCTTCTGCTGTAGAGACCACGTGGAAACTCAAATTAAGTTAGGTTGACTCCAGCTATATAATTAATGTATCTCAATTCAACCTTCCCATGTAGTGAAGACCTGGCCCTAATTACCTCCTCCTCTCAGGAGGTGCCTCCCACTACACTCTTTGGTCACTTTAAAGCAGTGATCGCCAACCTTCTTAAGCACAAGATCACTTTTTGAATTTAAGTGCAATCCAGGATCTACCTCAAAACCAAACACACTTGCCCCGCCTCCTTCGCGTCCCTTCTCTGAGGCCCCGCTCCTGTTCACCTCATCCTCCCTCCCTCTCCCCTCCCCCCACCATCCTCACTCACTTTTATCAGGCTGGGGGCAGAGGGTTGGATGGCAGGGAAGGCGGATTCAGGCTCTGGTCTGGGCTAAAGGATTTGAAGTTTGGGAGGGGCTCTGAGCTGAGCCTGGGGCAGGGAGTTGAGGTACAGGAGTGGGTGCAGGCTCTGGGAGGGAGCGTGGGTGCAGGGGGACTCCGGGCTAGAGCAGGGGTATGGGGTACAGGAAGGGTTCAGGACTGGGGCCGGGGTTCGGAGTGTGGGCTCCAGCTGGCCACCGCTTACCACAGGTGGCTTCTGGGTGGTGGTGCAGTGAGGTGAAGGCAGGCTCACCCCTGCTCTGGCCCTTGCACCACTCCCCAAAGCAGCCAGCAAACTCTCCATCTCTGTCCCTCCCCCCCCCGCTCTGTGGAGACGGGATACAGGGTGGGGGGAGGGGTACCCTGACATCAGCACCTCCCTGCCTCTTCTTCCCATGCCCTGCACAGCAAGCAGGAGGCTCCCAGAGGGATGGCAGCTCCAAGGCAGAAGGCAGAGCAGCACGGCAGTGCTGAGAGGGGCAGATGAAATGCCGGCACTGGACAGCCTCCCGGCCAAACCTGTCAGGATCACCAGTCAAAGGCTCCAAGATCTACCAGTAGATCCTGATCTACTTGTTGGTGACCACTGCATTAAAGCATAATCTGTGATTCTACATTACCAATCGGGCCAGAGTATCTCACTCTGTATTTGCCAAGGAACAATAATGTTTGCTCAGGTGCAGTGGTTTGGATATTTGCTAGGTTGAGGCCATCCTGTACAGTATTTAATGCAAGAGTCACTCTAGCTCTTCAATCTGTGTGTTTCCAGTTTGCGCTCATGTACCTTAGCCTCTCAAGAGACTCCCTGCTTATGCATGTTAATGGTCTAACACCAACTAGGAGGTTATTTGCTCTCACTGCAAGATGCAAGGCTATTCTCCTTCAATGGCAGTTTTAAAGGTAACAGTTTCATTCCCTGTCTTCTCAATAATCCTGATTTATAGCAAAGATGGCTTGACAAGTGGAATCCCATCTGTTAAAATGACAGACAACCGAGAGCATCTTTCAGATGCTGGTAAGAATTTTTAACTTCCCGAGTCCCTGTTTCAAAGCAAGTTGTGTTTGCCTTCCTGCATGAAAAGGATTGGCATGCACACATGGATTACGCACTCCATTAAAACTGGGATGAAGACTCTCGCAGGCAACATGCAGAATGAATTTGCCACTGGACGTTGAGACTGACACTTTGCTGTGCCTGGAGTTTGTATTAATAGTTGTCACGAAGAAATGTCAATTCACTGTGCACAGGGTCAGAACTCATGTAAATAAAACGAGAATCTGTTTCAGCAGTCTCTTGGCTACAACTGTCTTTCAACATATAGGAAGAAACATCTTTGCCCTTCCGATATAAAAGGTTAGTGACCCAGTATAAAAGCATTTGAAATAAGAATATAAGATTGGCCATCCTGGGTCAGACCAAAGGTCCATTTAGCCCAGTATCCTGTCTTCCAACAGTGGCCAATGCCAGATGCCCCTGAAAGTATGACCAGAACAGGTAATCATCAACTGATCCATTGCCCCTCTCCCCATCATCTATTCCAAGCTTCTTGCAAAGAGAGACTAGTGTCACCATCCCTGCCCCTCCTGGCTAATAGCCATTGATGGACCTATTCTTCATGAATGTATCTAGTTCTTTTTTAACCCTGTTATGGTCTTGGCTTTCACAACATCCTCTAGCAAGGAGTTCCACAGGTTGACTGTGCATTGTGTGAAAGTATTCCTTTTGTTTATTTTAAACCCGCTGCCTATTAATTTCATTTGGTGACCCTTAGTGCTGCTGCTGTGAGAAGGAGTAATTAACAAAGATATGCACTTCGATAGCATACCATAGGAGACTTAAAATGGTGTCGAAAGAACAACAACAAAGATTTTGGAAGGAAAGGACTTACTCAGTATTTTGTCTACAACACTTACAGCTGCAAGTAGGGAAGCATCAACCAACAAAGGTTTTATTTATATGTTTGGCTTGTTTGTTTAAAAGTCAAGAATAATGCTGATAATTTCATATAGTTCTATGTAATTGGGGCAGAGGTAGAAGCTGCCTTGCTATCTAAATGCTAGACCCAATGATGAAGTAACAAATGTGTCCAGAACAATGACCTTTCTTCCTACCTTCTGAGTTAGAGAGATGTTCAAATATGTTTCGCGGACCTGATTCACTATTGCATTATTTTAGTTTTCCACCTGCGTAATTCCTCAATTTTAATGGAGTAATGCTGCTGTGAAAAACAACGACGAATCAGACATAGTGTCTTGGCAGTTCTGCTAGCTAGAGGACATTACCTGCAATCTTTATGCACAAGCAAAGATGCATCTTAGGTTTGAGTTTTAACACAGTCTAGTTAAGGCTCCATTAGAGTCCCAGAGTAGATCAAATGCTTTGCTCTCCGTCCCTGAGAGTCTAAACTTGGCTCTTCCTAGGTGCATTGTCCCTGTGGAGCAGACAATAGGGCTACGTCTACATTGGCAAGATTTTGCACAAACGCACACGCTTTCGCGCAAAAACTTACCACCTGTCTACACTGGCCGCGAGTTCTTGTGCAAGAACACTGACGTTCTAATGTAAGAAATCAGTGCTTCCTGCGCAAGAACTATGACGCTCCTGCTCAGGAATAAGCCCTCTTGCGCAAGTGTTCTTACGCAAGAGGCCAGTGTAGACAGGCAACATGAATTTCTTGTGCAAGAAAACCCAATGGCTAAAATGGCCATCAGAGCTTTCTTGCGCAGGAGAGCGTCTACACTGGCTCGGATGCTTTTGCACAAAAGCACATCTCTTGCGCAAAAGCACATGCCAGTGTAGACGCTCTCTTACGCAAATACTTTAATGCAAAAACTCCTGAGTTAAAAGTATTTGTGCAAAATCTTGCCAATGTAGATGTAGCCTAGGTGGCTTGCATGCACATGATGGGAGAGAAGGTCTGAGAGAGAGTCAGTCCTTTGCAAGGTGGTTGTAAATTAGGACCTGTAATTTACTAGCACCAATCAAGAGATGGTTGTTATATATTGATAGTTACCAGAAGTGGTTACTGACACATGTTCAGCACCCTGGGTGAAGTGAGTCAGTTATTTCTGTCCCGGCCAGGTGCTTTCAATACAACCAGCACTATGAGAATGGACAATTTCAGCAGATGAGCCACAGGAAGACTTGGTTAGCAAAGATTCAGCTATTCATTTTGCCCTCTAGGTGTTGTCTCTTCATGTGATTCCTAAAGCCTGCTGCTGTCTATGCCCCGCCCGTGAGCATGGAGAGAGGGGACTGTAATTTTCAGGGCTATCTGAAAAGTGTAATATGCATTAAAGAAAGGCAAAAGCACAAATCTGCACTACATGTCTGCTCTCCTCACCCTCACTTGCATGTGATTCAGCTAGAGATTTCTGAACCAGAACACTGGATCTCAACACCCCTACAATGTGGCTCCCAGTGGAGAGCCCTGTACATGCTATGGACGTAGCTGGTGTAAAAGAGCATAGCTCTCTTGAAATAAGTGGTGTTACACCCCATGAGGGTCTGGCTCTGAGTCACTATCACAGGGTGAACAAAAAGTCCTGGATCTGAACTATGGACCAGTCTCCAATTTCAAACAGGCATAATATAATTCCTGTACTCTTATTCCTCTGAGATACAAGATGCCACACCCTGGAAATTTCCAAGTCAAGACCAGAAAAGGTAGTATTTTAATGAAGTAACCTGATATTTAAAGCAGTCTACTCTGAAACAGCTTTGAAGGAACTAAAACAAAGCTACACAAAGATAGAGTAGTGCAAAGAACTATTCCAATTAATGAAAGTATGTAACAATAGATGAATTAATCAATAACTATGCAGTTGCTAGTGGAACAGTTGCCAACCAGCCTGGAAAATTTCTTTCTTGCGTAACAGAGTCAAATTCTAAGTGCTTTATTGCTCAACAGAGCAATTTTCTTCTTAAGTCTTAAGCTTTGCATTTTGCCTGTAATTACTGACTTTTCAAAAATGTGGGCTCTTTTGTTTGCTTCTTGCTTTCTTCTTTAGATGAAAGAGAGGCGAAAATGGCAAATGAAACTGGATTAAAAAGCAAGTTGTGGGTGCCCTACATTGAAATACCTGTAAATGGCAAAGAAAAGAATATGTAATGGGACCTATTTTGAAATCTGAACTGCTAGTTGTTACCTAAAAAATTCCCTCTGGAGACTACCAGGGTTACACTAGTAGGATTTATTTAGGGTTTATTGATTGAGAAATTAACACTCCACTTCTAGCTCAGGCGGAGGCTTTTATGCAACACTAGTAGAGGTGAACATGCTCCTACTGGATTTATGAACTGGCGCTTGTGAACACACATGAGTAAGTGCACCAGAAATGTATTATTTATATTACGATGACCAGCCCCATTGTGCTCAGTGCTGTATGCGCACATAGGTCTACACTTTGACCTGGGAGGCGTGATTCCCCATATGAGACATATCTGCACTGGCTCTGATCAAGCCCCAGGTGTGTCGCTTGGAGCTGGGAATTGCACCCCTAGCTCAAAGTGCAGAGTCACAGTCCCTGCTCCACAGAGTTTATACAGTCTAAATAGACATGGTGACAAAGGAAACAGAGGGAAATAACCTCAGTGCCAGCTGGGAACAGAACCTAGAGCCTAAGTCTCCGGGCTCCTAGTCAAGTGCAGCATTCCCTCTAAGATTTGTCCATCTGGGAGCAGAGTGAGTTTTGTCTTGTGCATCAATATGGAGGTCACGTGCAAATGTGTGGCTCCCACCAGTGGTGTTGCTCCCTGAGGGTATGTCTACACATCAAAGTTATTTCAAAATTACAGCTGTTATTTCAAAATGACTTTCCTAGCATCCACACAAGCCTGCCCTTTAAGCATAGACCTCAGATAGCCTCAGGCAGCAGCCACACAAAGTAACACAAAGTCACTCCTGACCTGGTGCCCTGCCGAACCTGATTTCGGCCAGCCTTAAATGTGATTCAGAGTCCACTCAGTGTAGACATGTTATTTCGAAATATCTTATTTCGAATTAACTATTTTGAAATTAGATATTTCAAAATAGCGCTGTAGTGTAGACATACCCTGAGAGAATCTTCCAGTGCAGAGACCTCAGCTTGGCCCACTGTTGCTGAGACCCTGAGCCCTGCTCCCAGGCAGCCTGTATGCAGGCAGGGGGGGCCCAGGTTGCTCCCTGTGGAACTGGCTGTGAGTCCCCGCCTGGGGCAGAGGGAAGCTGCTGCCAGCGCCCAGGGTATGCAACGAGTGGGCTGTTGGGGGTGGGGCAATGACATGTGGTGAACCAGAGGGGGGAGAGTCGGGAGGGGGCAGGAGGCTCTGAGAGGTGGAGGGCAGTGAGGTGGGGGAAGAGGGCTGCAGGGAGCCCTGTCCCCAGGAGCAACCACACCTCAGTCTGCTCCAGCTTTGGCACCTGCCTGCCATGTGGCCCTGGCCACAGTTCCAGCCCTTCTGCCCCCCCTCCAGCCTCCCAGCTCCCAGCCCAGCCACTCCACACTGCTGGGCCCCAGCCCCCAGCGCAGCTGTGCTTGCAGCCCCCCAGAGTGTCCCCGGATCCAACAGCAGCCATTCCACACCACTGGCCCAGCCCCCAGAGCAGCCAGGCAGCTACCATGCAGCCCTGGCCCTGCACTCTGCTGCCAAGCCCACCTCCACCAGCAGCAGCTCACCGTCCCCAGGCAGGAAAGGTGAGGGCATGGCTCTCTTGAGGAGGTGGATAGGATTAGAATTCCTTGTGCGTGCCTGCGTGGGCGTGCACCCTAGAGGGCATTTAGGGCCGGTGTCTCCCCCCCCCACACCATGCTGCACCTGGGGCTGTCGGTGGGCCCGCTCATTTGTCATGAGTAAGCACAGGAGAGTCATTTGTCATGTAAGTTACCCATAAATTGGTCAGAAAAGCAGGTGCTGGTGGGTGTCTGAGCCTAGAACAGTAGAACCTGCACCAATTCAGCATTTTGATGTCTAGAAAGACTTTTGATATACACAGAGACTGATTCCCCTTCTGACTCGCATGTCAATCAGGGGTAAAAAGAGTGAGAGGAAACATACTGAAAACATTTTGTTATATGCCGTGTTCTGCTGCATTTCCCCATTCCAATCCGATCATTCCATCACCAGACAATTTGCATCCTCTTAGCATCATACCTAAATACTCAGTCATCGCAACTCTGCTTTATCACAGACACCTATTCAGGCAAGCAAGCTGAGCAATTGACACTTGATCGGTAAGTCATGATTCTGTTGAGTTTGGCCCAGAGATTTAAGTTGCAGATGGTTCACGTGTTACAACTACTTGCTGTTCAGAGCTACTCAGAGCCGGCCCAAGGTACGGGCCAACCAAGCTATCGCCCGGGGCACCCCATTGTAGGGGGTGCCATGCATGCTCCGCGCACTCGGGGTGGTGCCACGCATGTGTCGTGCTCCCGGGGGTGGCGCCGCGTTCCTGGGGCCCGGGGAGCACGAATGGCTCGGGCCAGCCCTGGAACTACCTCACATATGAAGAACTCAAGAACACCAACTATTGTATAGCAAACTGGCCATTGACTAGCCCAGGGCTACTCAACTTGGGAAGTCCCGGGGGCCACAATGATACTCTCAGCACGTGCCGAGGGCCACAACTTAAGTGTGGTTGCATATACATGCAAATATATGCAAACAGCTTCTTTCACATAATGCCCCAGCACCTCCTCTCTGGGACCTAGAAACACTGACACACTGTACCCGTCTGTTCCCGCCAGCCCGTCCACTTGCGTCTTTCAGTGCTCACCCTGCCTGGGAGACACCTCGTCACTGTGGAGCGTGTTCCCAGTGGAGGCCATGTTCAAAGGGGCTGTATGAGTCCCGTGGAAACCCAAACCACACCATGGGCTGCAAACAAAAGGGCCGTGTACCACATGTAGCCCACGGGCTGTGTGTTGAGTAGTCCTGGACTAGGCTGTCAGAAAAATATATCCACCTCCCAAATTAATCCACCTTCCAAATATATCCACCTCCCAAGCTTCATAAATAATACTCGTAGAAGAGTTATCAGGTGAAAAATAAAGGTGCTTTGGATTCTGAAATGCCTTTAGAGACAAGGTAGGTGAGGCAATAGCTTTTGTTGAACTAACTTCTGTGGGTGAGAGAGAGACAATCTCTCTCCCTTAGCCTGAAGAAAGTGCGCTGGGTGTTAAAAGGCACACTAACCTCCTCCAAAGAGTTTGATGGCTGTCAGGCAGAATAACAGGAAAGGGAAATGTACAGGCTAAAGAAGATGCTAGTAGGTGCTCCGACTGGCTTTTAAAGTGGATTAGTTAAACCGCATTAACCCCACTGTGTGGAGCCTCCTATACAGAATTAAAGTGACCTTACTTCAGTTTAATTTAAAATCACTTCCAAAAGGATTTAAACTAAAGGAAATTAAAGCCACTTGAATTCTGAATGAATGTGCCATGGTAGAATAGCATTGCTGGTCTATTCTGCATTGTTGATAAGCCCATTGATAGGATGGTGTATAGAAACGCACACTGGCAATGCCTCTGCTTTGCCCGGTCTGCTGAGGAACAGAATTCGTGTACCCCAAGGACTGCCAGTGTGGCACCTCTTAGGAAGACGCGGGATAGCTATTTCGAGATACTCCGGTATCCCAAAAGAGAGTTGCAGTGTAGACATACCCTTAATGAGCAAGGCCAGTACATACAGAGGCTAGGTCTACACATAGCAACAGCGTTATTTTGGAATAACGTCAGTTATTCTGAAATAAAGTGCACGTCTGCACAACATGCTATTATTTTGAGCTGGAGGACTTCTTACTCCAGTAACCCTCATTTCATGAGGAGCAAGGGAAGCGGGAGGAAGAGTGTCCTTCCTCAACTTCCTGCTGTGAAGACAGAGCCAAAAGCCGAATTACGCTATACAACTGACATAGCTGAAGTTGCATATCTTAATTCGACTTTTGCTCTGCTGTGTAGACATGCCCAGAGGGGCCTTATTTTTTCCCCTACATGGATGTAGCCCCAGTCTTCAGTAGAGTTACTCCTGATTTTCACCAGCATAAGGCAGAGAAGAATCAGGCCCACGGTGTGTGTGTGCACCTTAGAACAGTGCTTGCCAACCTTTTCCATACCAATACCCCTTGTTACAACCGGATAGAATTTTGGAACCTCCCTTCCATCTAGCCATAAAGAAATGGAGAATGGACATCACCTTGAACTTTACTTGCAACCTCCAGTCTGAGAATATCTGCATTAAAATCGGAGCCTGCCTGCACTAGCTTTTAGCAACCTAAGCAAGAGCAGCTTTACCAAGACTCAGCATGAATCTGAATCAATAGCTTGAACCTGGGACACTTCATACTCCGTTTCCAAGCTCTTGAGCTCTCTACCACCCTTGCTCATTTCTCCTCCAACCTGTTGTTATTTCCCACTGCTTTATCAAACAACCACAAAACTTCTTCAATGGAACTTTGCAAGCCTTAAATCATTGGATCAGATTTGTGTGTGTGGTTTTTTTTTTTTTTAAATCTCAGATCACTTTTCCTTCCTCCTCCTCCCAACCTTGACAACTCTCCCACACACATTATTTAAACAATACAAGGAAAATCCCACCTGCAAGTAAGCAGGCACCTTGTTTGTCAGAGGAACTCTCCAGTTTAACCCAGAAGAGATGTTAATCACTGTTCGCATTATAATCACTCCACTTTTTTTTTAAAAAAAAAAGAGCTTGCACCAATTTCAAAAGCAATGCCAGTGCCATTGAGAGTCATGCATTGAACAAGCCAAGGACCACAAGAGAGTCTGGATAGTGGAAAAACAACAAGCATGAAGAGGCAGGAGCACGTGAAAGAGTAAGTGCCCTGCCCATTAAGATTGATATTGCCCTACCTCACATGCTCATATTAGTGGATTTTCCTGCTATGCCTCCCTTCTGATGTATCACTTCTACCTGCTTCCCAACATGTAATAATCACCACTGAGGTCACTTCTGATTGCGGCCCACAGTCACAACAAAATGTTATGTCCTGTTTTTTTTAAAAGAGGTTCAGGCACTACAGGAAGCTGCTATCTGGACAGGCTGACGGAGTTGGGGCCCAGGAAATGCAGCTTACCATCTGACTACACAGGAGAGGCAAGATACAGAAGACTGGGCCCTTTTCTGGATCAAAACATCTGGCCCTGCTTTAAGGCTTCATTTCAATATTTCCTTTTTGTTTCACCAACAGTTTAATGTATGAAAGGGGTGAAGATAGATGCAAGATGAATGATCTTTAGCAAATGCCAGATGTGCTGTGTGTTATGGGGGAGCCTCTGCTAGCCCTTTTAACCCAAAGGAAGATACTTTCTGGGACCACATGATTCGACTGCTCTTTTCCTTCCTTTGCATTCTATGACCTCAGCGAGCAAGGCTGGTAACAGCTGAGGAATCACATCAAAAAGGATTTTTGTATCCCATTCAAGTTCTCTGCTCAGTACAGGACAAGTGCAACTGAAGCTTTCCCATGCAAATGTGGTGCATTGCTACGCTAAAACTGCCTCTAAAACCAGGGTGTCCAACCAGTTCTAAAGCAGTAGCCACATTGGCCGGTTAAGTGGGGCTAGTTGGCTTGAACAAATAGTCACATGTGTCTAGCATTTTGGACACCACTGCTCTAAAAGATAGTACAGCTTCTATAGCTCACTCAGTTCTTGGTCTTCTCTGGGATGCCCACCAACAAGTGCCAATTGTGAGATGGCTAAATATTTGTTGTGAAGTGAATTGAGACCCACCAAAGCTATATCAAGCTAGACAGCCAGTCGTTCCCAGCCTTTCACAACAGAAGTGCTACTGAGCCAGGTTATTTCACCCTCGTCAATGTCAGTCACAAGGAGCATAACCGGAAGAGCTAGATTAACTTCATTTTGTCAAAGCACAGATAGGAATTTGTATGCTGCGCACACTGTTCACTGCAATACACTGGTGGCCAAGTATCAGCTATTCATTGAATTGCTGTTATCCCATATGAGTGGGAAATTACTCTCCTGGCTAGAGTCTAAAGTGAGAGCTGACTTCATGACCTGTGTCACGTGTATGTGTGTAAATCAGAGCAACTCCCCTCAAGTCAATGGAGTTAAAACTGTTATGAACAAGATCAGAATCGGGCTGGCTTTCTCTCCTCTCTGATTTAGCAAATCTCTCTGTGTGCGCTTCGCTTTACACATGCAAGCAATCCACGACTGAAGTCAAGTGGGTGTACCTGAAGGGCATGCCTGGCCTGTGTCTCACATGCTCAGCACTGAGTCCCACGTCCTTGGAGTTAAAGAGGTGACCTCAAATGTTTTGTTGGAGCAGGGTCGCAATCTTCTCCATCTCTGTTTATGAATCTGAACCATGGGTGGGCAATGAAATGGTGGTGATTCGCTAGGGTTAGCCCCTGGCAGGCCACCATTGCTATATTTACCTGTGCCTCTGCAGGTGCAGGTGCTTGTAGCTCCCATTGGCTGTGGATCATGGTTCCCAGCCAATGGGATCTGCGGGAAGTGGCGCAGACCAGGACACCGCTTCCCACAGCTCCCATTGGCCGGGAAGGGCAATCTGCAACCAACAGGAGCTGTGGTCACCTGTACGTGCAGAGGAGCAGATAAACAGAGAGGTGACAGCCCACCAGGGGCTAAACCTGGCAAACAGGATCCAGCCTGCAGGCTGGTATTTGTCCACTCCTGATCTGAACCCAGATCCTAACATCGTTGCTTTATTTTTTTAAGGCATCGGCACACAGAAATACAAACCCAGTCGGCAACTAGCTTCAGAAGGAGAAAAACCAAAGGGACTCAGTGACAGACAGGCAATATATCAAAACAAACACACACTGGGCTCTTTTTTACATTGGTGTAACTTGAAATAACTGCACTAGGTCAATGCTGTTTATACAGCAGCAAAACCAATAGGAGAGCAGAGCCAGGCCCACAAGGTACATATTTAGAAAAAATCCATATGCATGATATTAATACTTTAGGCAATTAAGAAGAGCCTAACTTACCTACACGCTGTTTGTCTTTTTTGTTCCTCACTCACCCTGGACTGTTAACACAGGTAAGTCAGTTTCACTTATTTCTAGTTGGTTTCATTTTCCTGTAGACAGACAGACAGAGAAAAAAAAAGAAGAAAAAAGAAAAAAAGATTTAAACATTTGTTATTGAAATGACAAGAACAGAAGACTTCTATGCTTATCAGGGTGTTTACTTCATCTGCTATGTACATTGGACAAATGTCTCAGACACTTCGCCAAAGGATCAATGCCCACAAAACAGATATCAGGCAGGATCACAAAGAAAAAACAGTTTCTTGCCATTTCAACCAGAAAGGACATTGTCTCAATGACTTGATTACCTGCATCCTGCTTCAAAAGCCTTTTAAGACTTCACTTGAAAGAGAACCCTCTGTACTGCCATTCATGCTTAAATTCGACACTTTACACTCAAATTTGAATAAAGATGCTAATTATCTTACCCATTACAAAGATAGCTTCCCCAATTATCACCTCTAATATCATTAGCTCACAGACATTTACCTCCCCCCCCCCCCATCTCCTTTCTGTTCTGAAATTTGATTTGTCCTTTTCATATGTGTTCATTTTTTTAATTGTATCCTTTGGTATATATGGTTGTGACAATTTTCTTCCACTATTTGATCTGAGGAAGTGGGTCTGGCCCACGAAAGCTCATCACCTAATAAACCATCTTGTTAGTCTTTAAAGTGCTACATGGTCCTGTTTTTTGTTTTTACTTCCAGCAGAGAGAGAGAGAGAGAGAGAGAGAGAGAGAGTGTGTGTGTGTGTGTGTGTGTGTGTGTGCGCATGAACAGTAACTGAGAGGGGTGCTGGACTGGAAGTGCTGGAGGCTGAAGTTCTCTGCTTAATTTACAGAGCTGGTACAGCACCATTGTAAATGTCTCTCACACATGCCCAAACCATGTGGAGAGCTGCTACTTCCTGGCCCATTCAATCCATACATCTCTTCACAGATTATCCCTCAGAGGGAACAAATTACTCTCAAATGCAAAGGTGGTTTTTAAGATATTGGTTTCTTTAAGCCTCCTTCCCCATATTATTTAAGGATTTAAGGATTTTCCAGGAGCCTAAGGGAGGTAGGTGCTCATATTTCTCTGCAATTCAAAGACAAGTGGGTACCAAATTTTCATAGGCTTCCTTGAAAAGTCCCATCCTAAGGCCTTATTTGACACAAACCTTATGGCAGTGTCCTTTAAACTGAGGGGGAAATGTTTCTTCTCTCCCTGCCAACCCCATTTCTTTCAAGGCTTTGATTTGCTTTTGCAAGAGTCTCAGATGGATAAACTGAACTCATAAGTCCTTATTTATCTGTTCTTCACTAGCGGCACTACACAAACATCAAAGGAATACATTTTAATTGACAAATTTTCACAGATAAGACTGATCATATTCAGACAGCACTGGTTATCTACAGGGGAAGAAAGCCATGTCATTTCTGGCTGAGTTACAAACCATTTCACTCACTGCAAGATGGAATGGGGAAAAAGATGTATTTGGGGAGCTTCTGGGTCCTGTTCCTCCTAGTTAGATCCAGGATCCTCCTGACTCGGAAAAAAACAAAAACAGTGGATCCAGCATCATCCCACTTGATAGAATCATTATTGCCTTCCTTAAAGTTAGCAAGTTTAAACTGTTGGTTTTAAAGTTTTGTTTCAAAGCTAGTAACGCCTTGAATTGTAGGTGATCTCAATTTCTGGGCCATTGACACTGAACATTCATAGCTTTGAAAACACTGACCCAGTTGTCTTCAAACTTGGCCTTTTTTGCAGCTCTCGAGTTTAATCCAGCCCAATATGGAACTGGACTCGAGTGTACGTACAGTTGTATAAGGAATTTCAAGTTGTATCAATTGACAAATCATTTAATGCACATTCAGCTAGCACAGGCACAAAGGGCAGAGTTACTGAAAGGTTATGTCTTCACTATTTCTTGACTTCCAAGTGGTTGCTTTCTGAACTTAAATGCTGCATTGATGCTAGATTTTTTTGCACAGAAAAAGTCCCCCATAAACAAACAACAACAACAAAGAAAGAATCCCCAGGGTAGAACATGGCAGCTGTTAAGAACACTACATAACAGTTTAGTGTACTAAATGAAGAATATGGCTAGCAATGAAACTGCAAGAAGAATTTAGGTCTACAGAATTCAATTACTCAAACTGGAATTTGGCCAAGAGACTGGAGTTTAGTTAGAAATCTGGAGGGGATAGTCCCAGAACCTGACACACAGTGCAGCAAGCTGAAACAGACTTACCACTATTTTGGGGAGAAGCATGGGCTACCTTCAGAGACTTGCATATTGAATAATTAAGAGTATTTTCTCTTCTCTACTTGTAGTACTCTATGGGCAATTCCCATGCTGTTCCATCTCCCCTCCCCCAGCAATAAGCACTGGCTGTTAAGCCCAACGAGCCCTCTTAATGAAAAACGAAATCATGTTAGCAACGCTCAGCAAGCCAGTGTGTTGGTTTTATTATTGCTTTCCTCTGAAGCCATCAACAAGAAAAAAACCAAACTCTACTACTGAAAAGTTTGGAGTGTCTCCATAGCATCAGTAAATGTGCACCATAATGGACAATCACTATCAACTCTATGATGACATCTAACTACTTACAGCACATAGATGGATCTGTGATGCTCCAAGGAGTGGAAGAATATGTCTGTCATCCAAGCTGCAAAGTCCTTAAGAATTAAAATGTAGGAGAAGTATATAGAAAAAGCCTGGCTGCCACTTGGCTTTAAGAATTGCATATATCGGATTGTCTTGGTTGCCTTGTCTCACGCCCCTCATTCCAGTCTGCTTGTTTGCCCACCTAATAATGTCTTTACACTATAAATTCCTTTTGGGCAAGACTATCATGCATTGGGTGTTTTCATAAGACCGACAGCAGAACTGAACCTGGGACCCCTGGATCTTCCTGAATGAACGAAAAGCCAGCTGCTCTTTGCTAAGGGTGTAGCGCACCCTTGTTCTTTACTCTGTTAGTGGTCTTGGTGCCACTAGGTGGGACTGTACACCCTACCCAGCCCGTTGCATTTGTACAGAATCCAACCAGTCCTAGGCACAACTAGGGCTGGGTGGATTCAAAAAATTACTGCAATATACGTGTTACTAATACTGGATTGGATGGAGCCTAATGTAATGTGGGTGACAAGCTCCCAAGGATGTTAATGAAGCATTAGCTGGGCTGACAAATGAGGACAGGATGGGAAAGAGAACCGCCCTGTCATGGCAATTTCTTTTGTCCACTGGCACACAACTCCTGGGAAGGGAGGGTTGAGTTTAGATGCTCATATGCTACAGTGAGGCATACAGCTCT